GAAAAGTTTCAGTCATTCGTTCTTCAACTATTTTCAGACCCCTTCTTCCTTTTCAGGCACCGCAATCACACATACACTAGACTGTTCACAGCTGTCCCTCATCTCACTGATGCTCTGTTCAGTTTGCTAATTCTCTTTCTCTGTGCATTTTATTTTGAATAGTTTCTGTGGTTATACATTCAAGGTCTCTAATCCTTTCATCCGCAATGTCGAATCTGCTGTTAATCCCATGCACTGTAGTTTTCATTTGCATATTGTACTTGTCATCTTGTCCTTGTGACCTGTAAGTGACTGATGCACAGAAGCTCAGACCAGCTCTCCAAAGCCAGTGGGCAAATATCCAATTGTTTAGTCCTCATCACAGCCTCATGATGTCGATACTGTTATCATCCTCCTTTTACAAGTGAGGAAGTGGGTGCTGAGTAAGCTCATGGAAAAGGCACCTTGCACTGGCTGCTTTCTCTAGGTGTACCTGCACCGATAGTTCTCAAAGTATATTCCCTGGAGCGAGCGGCATCAAAAACTGGTTAGAAAAGCAAATTCTCCTACTTTCCCCAGGGTGGGTGTATCAGTGCTATGCTTGCCAGCCAGTGGTTCAACACTTCCATTATTAGAAATTAAATCATACGAACCTCTAATTAAATAAATTATATCAAAAACAAAGGTTTAGCCCTAGCCGGTGTGACTCAGTTGGTTGGTCATCGTCCTGTGCACCAAAAGGTTGCTGGTTCAATTCCTGGTTGGGGCACATGCCTGGGTTGCGAGCTTGGTCCCCAGTGGGAGTCATGCAAGAGGCAGCTGATCAATGTATCTCTCGCATCGATGTTTTCCTTCCTCTCTCTCTCTCCCTCTAAAAATCAATTAAAAGTTTTTAAAAATAAATTAAAAGGTTTACGTACTGGAAATGTATCAATCCCCGATTGCTGGCCTTCATTTGCCTATGCTCCCGAGGTCATGGTGTCCGCGTGGTGGAAGCGCTGTTGTGCATTTCGTCCCAGCGCTATGTCCAGTTACGTCACTGAATCCGTCGTGTGTGGGTGGTTATTTATATCACAGGAGTTGGCAAACACTACAAATCAGGTAGCCTTATTTTTCTGGAGGGCCTGTTGTCCATTACCCCCACACCACCAGACTCAGTGCTCTGTATGTCAAAGGTGATTCTGATGCCCACTCGAAGTAGAGACCTACCTACCCTGAGTGTTTCAGCTGGATGCTTCATACTGACTCCTTACACGTCTTTTCATCACAGTCCTGACAAGCTCCATGCCGGAACGAAAGCAGATGCCCTCTGCCCTTGCCCCTCCCCAACCCTCACCTCTGTGCCTGAGCAAATGCTGGGACCAAAGCCATGCTCTTGACCAGGAGAGGCAGGGGGGATCTGGGAGGCTCTGAAAGCTGGTTCTGGGGGCCCCTTGCAGTGCTGGCCACAGTGGGGTCACCTGAGCGAGGGGGGCCTGCCTCTTCATGGTGGCTTCTTGCACACAGAGCTGTCACAAATGTGAGGAGCAAAGTGCTCCAGCACCAGACACAGCTGGTGGCACATCCCCGCTCGCCCAGCTAACAGGACACAGGGCCTGGTTGCTCCACCTCTCCCTGTTCATCTGCTCGTCCAGGAGGATGGGGATCAGCACCTACCCCCTGGGGCCTGGTTGCTTCACCTCTCCCCTGTTAATCTGCTCGTCCAGGAGGATGGGGATCTAGCACCTACCCCCTGGGGCCTGGTTGCTCCCCCTCTCCCCTGTTAATCTGCTCGTCCAGGAGGATGGGGATCAGCACCTACCCCCATGGGGCCTGGTTGCTTCACCTCTCCCCTGTTAATCTGCTCGTCCAGGAGGATGGGGATCAGCACCTACCCCCATGGGGCCTGGTTGCTCCCCCTCTCCCCTGTTAATCTGCTCGTCCAGGAGGATGGGGATCTAGCACCTACCCCCTGGGGCCTGGTTGCTCCCCCTCTCCCCTGTTCATCTGCTCGTCCAGGAGGATGGGGATCAGCACCTACCCCCTGGGGCCTGGTTGCTCCCCCTCTCCCCTGTTAATCTGCTCGTCCAGGAGGATGGGGATCAGCACCTACCCCCTGGGGCCTGGTTGCTCCCCCTCTCCCCTGTTCATCTGCTCGTCCAGGAGGATGGGGATCAGCACCTACCCCCTGGGGCCTGGTTGCTCCCCCTCTCCCCTGTTCATCTGCTCGTCCAGGAGGATGGGGATCAGCACCTACCCCATGGGGCCTGGTTGCTCCCCCTCTCCCCTGTTCATCTGCTCGTCCAGGAGGATGGGGATCAGCACCTACCCCATGGGGCCTGGCTGCTTCACCTCTCCCCTGTTCATCTGCTCGTCCAGGAGGATGGGGATCAGCACCTACCCCATGGGGCCTGGTTGCTCCCCCTCTCCCCTGTTCATCTGCTGGTCCAGGAGGATGGGGATCAGCACCTACCCCATGGGGCCTGGCTGCTTCACCTCTCCCCTGTTCATCTGCTCGTCCAGGAGGATGGGGATCAGCACCTACCCCATGGGGCCTGGCTGCTTCACCTCTCCCCTGTTCATCTGCTCGTCCAGGAGGATGGGGATCAGCACCTACCCCCATGGGGCCTGGTTGCTCCCCCTCTCCCCTGTTCATCTGCTCGTCCAGGAGGATGGGGATCAGCACCTACCCCATGGGGCCTGGTTGCTTCACCTCTCCCTGTTCATCTGCTCGTCCAGGAGGATGGGGATCAGCACCTACCCCCTGGGGCCTGGTTGCTTCACCTCTCCCCTGTTCATCTGCTCGTCCAGGAGGATGGGGATCTAGCACCTATCCCCATGGGGCCTCTAGAAAGATTAAGTCCGATCATTTAGACAAAGAGCCAGGTGTATAGTACAAGCTCTGTAAAGTACAAGCACTGCTTTTGATTGGGCTGTAGCAGAAAGTGTCGATGTCCATATTGTTACTCCCCTTTTACGGATGACAGATCGAGGCACAGAGGGAACAAGCAACGTGCCCTGGATATGCAGACACACTTACGGAAACAGCAAACACCCGGCATCCCATTAGCCAGTGACGGATCTCGCCCACGGCCTCTGATGAGCACATTTCCCAGGCCTGGGCTGCAGCCCTGATTCCTTCCCAGCAGCTCCAGGTTCCCTACAAAGAAAGTAAATGTTAACTCAGTTACAGCGGTTACAGCTGGCTCTGGTTTATTGCTGTAATTCCTCCAACGCAAGCATCTGGGGGTGAAGATGTCATTCTGCCTTTCTGTTGCTTAAAGGAGAGAAGGAATTTCCTTGTGTCCTTGAGGGACAGGGCTCCACACAGGCGCAGGCTGGAGATACCCGTGGGAGAAGCTGGGGTTGGGGAGAGGAGTGCCCTGTGGGCGTGCAGAGTGGGGGGCTAGAGGCCACGCCCCTCACCTGGGCAGGTGCAGACACTGGAGGCCTGGCACAAGGTAACAGCTGGGGTTTTTGTAGCACACACATGGCTCGCACTGTGTGCCAGGCCCTGCTCTAAGATTTCCCAGGTGCTCGTTCATTTAACCATAAGAGCCCCGCAAAGCAGCGTCTCTCTTCCTATTCCGCACATAGGGCACTGGGCGGCTGCCCAGAGAAGTCAGGCCGTTTGCCTGGGGCCCTGCACCTGTGCTCGGCTCAGCCAGCATCTGAGCCCGGGCACTTAGGTTGTGGGGGTGGAGGTTAAGAGGTTCCCATGGAGAGAACCAAGAGTGTGCGTCAGAGCCGCACATGGCTGAACACACAGTGCGTGACACAGACGATGTGTTAAGAGAACTGTATTCCCGAAACCTTCTCATTTCATCAACTAATGTCAGCCCAGTAAATTAAAACAACTTTAACAACAGAGTTTCAAAAGCCACACACAGTCTGAGCTGGGCAATTCTGAGCATGAATGAAACTGAGAAAGGCCTCGCAGAGACGCGCGTTCACGGGGAGGAGGGGGGACAGGCCCAGCCTCGGGGTGGGAGAGGGGAGCCCAACGGCTGTGACGCGGAACCTGGTCCGGAGTGGAACTTCCTGAACAGAACTGTGGAGTCTCAACATCCCTGAGATGTGGGGGTTGCTGTTCCATGGTCGAGATGTGGAAACTGGGGTTCAGAGAAGTTAGGGGGTCTCCTTACGGTCACACAGCCAGGAAGTGCAGGGCTGGGACTGCGCCCAGCTACCCCTGCTGACAGCCCCAGTCTTTCCCGTGCCTTTCCGCCCTGCGGATGTCAGGCCGGGAGAGGGACTGGGCCCCCGTGCCCCCTTCTCTGCTAGTGAGCAACCTCTGTGGAGGCCTTTCTTCATCTGTTCCTGCTCAGATTTGCCCAACTCAGACCGTGTGTGGCTTTGACTACACATGTTTGGTTCTCTCCACAGGACACCCACTTTCAACTCCATCCCTACAGCCTAACTGGCTGGGTTCAAATCCTGGCTTACTGGCGGTGTGGCCCCAGGAATGGACACACACAGGCCCACGGCACATGGCAGCACGTGTGCTGGTACCTCCTGTGTGCCGGCTGACCCGTTGAGCAGTTAGAGAAACCGCGCCTGGCCGGGAGGGGGCGGAACTGGAATTACACAGACCTGCGGGTCCTTTATCCACGTCACCTCAGGGAGAAAGCCAGTTCCAGCGTGCCAACCTTCCTCTGCCTGGCCCACCACAACCTAACACTCCTGCCCCAGAGATGGGACGTTGGGACAGGGACCCCTCCACTTGAGGGGAGCCTTCCACCTTGCTCCAGACTTGCATTCCGCCTTTAACCAGGGTGACCACTCCAGGCAGTGCTGGGGTGCCTGTGGGCAGAGCCCCCCAGAGTACGTGCAGATTGTAGTGCCACCCGCTCCACTGGGACCGGGCAGGGCCTCAGCTGGGCATGGCACCTGCCTTGGAGAGAGGCCTGCAGTCCTGCACCCGAGCTTACCAGCCAGGGCCTGAGGGCTGGGCCCTGACCCGTGGTCCCTCCCCAGGCCCCACCACAGAGTCTTTCCCAGTCATCTCATGCCGCCTGTCTCTGTTTGTCTCTCTCCTCCAGGGCTTCCTTTCTCTGCAAGGGAAGCAGGTGACCCAGCTCCTTCCTGGCCCTGAGGAAGTGGGGAAGCATCTCTTCGAGATCAGCCCAGGTAGGCCTGCGCGAGCAGCTCTGTGCGTCCCGCGGCCCCAGCGCGGGTGTCGCCACACCTGGAGCCTGGGAAGGGAGCTCCTTCATGACGCGCCAGACGGTCTGTAAACACGGCTCGGAAATGTGGGTCAAGTCTAGAGGATACGGCGAATCGGGGTAAAATTAGAAAATCCAATCAATCACGTGGGTCATTGACTTTTGGTGGATTTTTACATTCACAGTAAACACAAGGGAAGAAACCAACCAACTGGGACAACTTAGGGCGAAGGCCCAAACCGCACCTCTGGGTCCCGTGCGGACGGGGGGCTGGCGCTGGTTCAGGCACTAGCCTAAGCTTCACCCTGATTCCGAAACGGCCCTGCGGTGCGGTGGGGAGAAGGAAACGACTGAACCCAAAGAGCAGTCATGGTGGCAGCCACAGAACCGTGTGTTTCCAAGGCCCTTGCTTTGAAATGCGGTGGCTGTTGCGCTAAGGAAAGGCGTCCGGGCCGGGCTGACGGTGAGGTCGGGCTGTGCCGTGTTCAGCCTGACACCCCTCCCCGCCCGGAGCAGAGGCTGGGCTGTGCCTGAGCAGTGAACTGGGGGGCACAGCCCTGAACCACGGAGAAGGGGGAGGGAGGACGGCCAGTCAGGGTGGCTGCTGCGGCTGCCCGGACTCAGCTCCAGGGGGCTTTGGAGACCGAGGGAGCAGGCCCCCAGAGACGTCTCGCCCACGGAGGGAGGAGGCCGGGGCTGCACAGCAGCCAGTGATTGAGAGCTGCTCCCTGGGGGGCTGACGCTGGCGTATCTGGCCAGCCCCGCACAGGGACTGAGCTCCCTACCGGCGGAGAAGGCCTTTGGGGAGAGTTGCACGTGCTTAAGGAGGTCACCCCGTGGACCCCGCGGACGGGACTGGTGTGCATCCACGTCAGACTCTCCTCTGGGAAGCGGCGGCTGTGACCTGACTGCTAGGGCCTCCCTGGGGTCTGTGGGACTGTTCACAGCCTCAGAGCAGGAGGGCACCCAAGCACTCTGACAAGGTGACCTGGCTGCAGGCTGCCCAAGGAGGCCCCCGGCCAGCAGCGAGCCCCCGCTGGGAGCCAGTGAGCGCAGAATGCCAGCAGGGAGCAGGCAGCACTGGCCTTTGCTCTGCCCATCCTGGGGATTCCAGGAGGCACCAGCTAAGCTGAAGTGCAGGGAGGGCCCTCCAACGCATGCCCCGCGTGCAGACTTCAAGCAACATGGTTGCACCTGCCTGGGCATTTCATCTCCTGCCAGGGCCATGAAGGTGGCCGCAGAGGTCCCAGGGCAGGGAGTGGGGGAGGAGGCTGCGGGCCGGGCCGTAGATCAGGAGTAAGGCTTCTGCAGAGAAGGCGGAGCAGAGATGAGACAGGGCAGTGGGTAGGCAGGGCCCTGCGGTCTAGAGGAGGGGACCTGGGCACATGGAAGGAGAGGCGGGGGAGGGGTCCCGAGCCTGGAGAAGGAAAAGGTGGAGGTCAACATACTCCAGCCATAAATTCAGAAAGGCCCTGAGCATGTGGCCCAAGGACCAGGCGGAAAATCACCACTGTGCGTGCTCCCTCTGGTCCGAGCTGTTTACAAGGATTTCCCGATTCTGGGGGGTTGAGGACCCACCTGCCGGGTAAAGCAGCCTTCACAGATGCTAGGGGCCATCTCTGCGGGCCTTTATTTCGCCTGCCTCAGTGCTCAGGACATCCGTCTGCTGCAGGGGCACTTGCATGCCTAGACCATTAAAAAGGGCACTGGAGATTAGTAGGGCAGGAGACTTGCCCAAGGACACACAGCCAGTAGTAGGTTTAGGGCTCACACCCAGGCAGCCTCACTTCCAAAGCCACACACTGAAGCTGCCCTCCAACTCAGGTACCTGGCACAGGGGTAGCATCCCAGCCGCCGGGCCTGGGGGTCTAGGGGTGGGTACAGGAAGGAAAGCTCCCTGCACCCCTTTGGATCAAGCACAGCACAGTCCGAACCCCAGATCCTTCAGCACGGCCTCTCCACCCTCTTGCCCTTTGCACGGGCCTGAGGCCCCTGGGTTGGGGGGTTGGAGGCCGCTGCCCAAGGAAAGCGGGCTGGTGTGGGCAGTGGGGGGCTCGGTCAGCCTTTGGGGGCACTAAGGAAGGAAGGCTCAGCCACCTCTGGACGCCTCGTTCTGGCTGGGGAAGGGCAGGCGGGCACGTTTGCCACGCAGATGCCCAGAGGAAGGAAGACCTGACAACTCTTGAAAATGTGATGGAAACCCGAATATGATCATGCATAAATCAACTACGTGAGTTTTAAGTCATAGTTTTGTGTGTGTTCTTCTACAGTACAGAAATACCACGATTCTTCAAGGTAGAATTTAAAATACGAGGAAAAGTTCAACTGTGAGTGCCATCTACTGGAGGGACCTGCCAATTGCACCACAGGCCAGGCGTGCCTCCTGCCCGCCCCCCACCGTTTTAGCCAGGCCCTACCTCCATTCTGGCTGGGCACCCCCAACAAGGACGGGGTGGGGGTGCTGGGGGGCTGCCGCCGGAGCCAGCTCTGGCCCCAGAACTCCCCTCTGCACCAACACTCTGACTGGCTCTGGGTCGGGCCCCAGGAAGCAGCTGGGATTCAGGCACCCGGGCGGGCACCCTCTCCAGCCTGGGCAGTTAGTTGCCTGCTGTGGTATTGTGATTTATAAGAAGAAATGCATACTTGGTCTTTGTCCTGGTTCCTGGCACGGAGCTCCTAACACCCTTGGAATTTCCTACCTGAAGAGGGTGGCAAAGGTGACTTTTGTTATGTTAATGAGGCTGCTTTGGGAATGCACCTAAGGATGGGGGCTGGTTGTCAGAAGGCCCAACCTTGAGGGGAGAGGTTTGGAACTTTCGGTCCCAAGCCTGACCTCTGGGGAGGGAGAGGGGATGGAGGTCGAATCTGTCGCCAATGGCCAGTGACTTCATCAGTCATACCTGTGTAACAAAGCCTCCCTAAAACCCCGAAGGACAGCCCGGGAGCTCCTGGTCGGCAAGCACGTGGAGACGTGGGGAGAGGGGCATGCTGGGAGAGGGGTGGCGGCTCTGTGACCCTTCCACGTGCCTCGCCCTGCGCCTCTTCCTCTGGCTGTTCCTGAGTTACGTCCTCGGGTAACAAACTGCTGATCTAGAAAGTAAATGTTTCCCTGAGTTCTGTGAGCCTCTCCGGCAAATTAACCGAACATAAGGAGAGGGTCCTTGGAAGCCTGGTCAGAGCACAGGTGACAACCTGGGCTTGTGATTGGCATGGGGGGCAGTCTTCTAGGACCACGCCTAACCGGTGGGCTCTGACGCTACGTTCGCGTGCAGCGATTTGCACCGGCGAGCTGCGAGACTGTGAAGCACACGCTACCTGACTGTCCAGTCGGGCACGGACCCTTCTCCCCGAGACTGTCAGACGAAGGCAAGACCACAGCCAACACAGCAACAGCCCTCCGGTGTGAGTGAATCGAAACGACGCCTACTTTGTTGTTGTCAGATTGGCATCAATGTATTTGCGGTGTGCCGCAGAACTTCGGTAACTGGTCTGCGTGTGCCTAAGGACACCCTGCTCAGGTGGTGGAACTGGCTTGCGGTGGAACACCCAGCAGCGTCTGAGGCTGGCCTGGTGGGTGGGGCAACGTCGGCACATGGTGACTGGTGAGCAGAGTTACGGCAAACACGCCCGGCCCTCTGATAGCTCCCTTCCCGGGCACACTTGCTCCTCTTGGCCTCCTGGACACTTACCTGGCAGTGCCCGCGTCCGGCCATGGGTACATGGCATCCGGCCACGGGGAGGCACGGGTGGGGAGGCCTGCTCTGGGGGCTGCTAGACCGTGAGGGGCTGTGTCTGGCGGGAAGAGGCGGTCTCCAGGGAGCAGAGGAGCTCACTGCGATGCCCCTCTCCAGGGTCAGCACCCTGCCCCCAGCGGGAGGCCGGCGCTCTGCCAGGACCGGGCAGAGCCTAAGCCTTCTGGAGAGTAGTGAGGGCTGCCACATCTCCCGCCTGGCCGGCAGGTCTTCCAGGGTCCCAGGTGCAGGGAGCAGAGCCCCTCTGGCTAACTCGGGTGAGGGGGTGGGCCACAGAAGATGGGGACACTGCAGAGCTGAGTGGGAGGGCAGGGGCAGGGCTGCTGGGGCCCAGGAGCCGGACGAGGGCGGCGCTCCCTGCTGGGGTTGGATCCTGCCTGGCCCTTCGTCCTGGTGTTCCTCGCTCGGGTCCGAAGTCTCCACGGCCACGCTCAGGCCACGTGCTTGCCCCCGACAACTCTGGGTGGTGAGGAAAGGCCTGTTCACCCCAGCAACTGGACAGAGCCTCCCACCAAGGCGTCGGCCAGTGGGAGCGAGGAGCCCAGGAGGTACTGGTGCCCTCGGGAAGGGAGGGGAGGTGACAGGCGCAGTCTATGGTCCTGTGTCTGCCAGGCCAGTGTCCCGCTGTAGGCCTTCCCACGGCCTTTCCACGGCCTTCCCACGGCCTTCCCACAGCCTTCCCACAGTGCCACAGCAGGGCCCGGGCTGGGGGCCTTTCCTGGCCCATCTCCTCCAGGGAGCAAGGACCCCCCTGGCAGGGCTTAGCCCCCTGAGATGGGAAGGCCACCCCGAATCTCAGGAAGGGTAAGAACAGGAAAGCCCTGTCTTCTTGAGCTGCTCTGAAGTCTGGGCCCGGTTCCCATCTCAGGACGCATCTGCTCTGAGCCCCACGGACCATGTTTCTCAAGGTCAAGTGCTGGAGGATCCGGTGGCAGCCGCGGGTTCTGAGGTCTGGCAGACCCCTGCTCCGGGCTGCCGCCCTCCCCACACCCGGGCACCCTGCCCACAGCAGGCCAGGTGGGGTTGGCTCTGAGGTCTTGGGGGAGTTGGGGCTGAGGTGCAGCAAAGCGAGCAGCGGCACCCCAGGGAAATCGGGGGGAGCGGGGTGCAGATGTCCCTGCGCAGGCCAGTGGGCGTGCACAGAGGAGAAAGTCAAAGGCAGGTTTGGGCACCAGCTCCCTGCCTGCACCTGCTTGCTGTCGGTTGGGAGGAC